TCAACTGAGTCATCAAGACGGCTTACTCAACTTGTTGGTTCATGGGAAATCGATGAAACAATTTTTCTTCAAGTGCAGAATATGAACAAGCTGTCGATGATAGGTGTCTGCCAGGCTCATTTTAATTTTGATCAAAACTAGCTACATGCTCGAAGTGCTAAGCAAGAGCAATCAATTGAGAAGAGTTAGGTTTTTTGTCGACGTTGTTTGTTTTGTAATAAGTCCAAATATTTTTTTAGTAGAAGTAAAACGTGTGTGCAACATTCAAACCGTATATTTGGAAAAAACATTCAAATACCCTATGTTAGGCTTATGGTATGTCCTATATTCGAAAAGAAAGTAGAACTAAAAACATTTAATAATGATCCAGAAACTGAATATAGGCCTCGGTATGTTTGTTCTGAATGCTTTGTTGCTCATGGAGGACATCTTTACGAGAAACAAGGTCGTGGAACCGAACCTTTCAAATGTGCAAATATGCATAGTAATGATACAAGTGAGGCACTTAAAATTTTAGGTCACTGGATTTTATATATAGCAGAGACCGCTGATGATGATAAAAAAAAAAATCTTTTAGTAAGTCTGGTTTCAGTTTTACAAACATTTTTTAATACAAAATCTTACAAAGAATCTGTAAGCCCTCCTAGTCTCTTTTTTGTTAAAGCGGCCTTAAGGTTGGGGCATGTTCATTTGAAAAAGATTGTTGAAAAAACATACACCATTACTACTGAAACAGTTGTTGATTTTGGAAAAGCACTAGGAGCTGCAACGTGAAGTGCACGAAGTGATGTACAAAAAAATAAATTAAAGCTTGAGAGCCCTGTATCATTAGTGCAATATCAGAAAGGGTTTCTTCAGTTCTTATTAAATTTTTTTAACAGGTTTATAGATACATTGCAAAGAAAAAAACATGCGGTAGTGACAAAGAAAAGAAAGCAAAGGGGACTTCAATTAAAAGTTTTTGATGTAAGCCATGTAATTAAGATAGTTGTATTCTTTATCTCTATAATTTTAAATATAGTATTCCCAGGAACAAACATATGGCTTACTCATATTATGAGTTCGCTATGTAGAAAGCCAAAATTGCACCACTGCCTATATAATATTCTATGTGTTGCTAATGTAGTATCCCATACCCAACAACATGAAAGACTTTTAGAAAAAGTTCGCTTGCATGAAGCAAAACCGGAGGAAAGATTGTTACGAGGCACTAATATATAGAACCTTTTAGTTATCGATAATATAGATTTTTTTGAACAAACGTTTATGTATGGAAATATCTATGACGTGACTCGTAAAACAGCGCATATGACTTTGAGAATGGTATTCCAATTTGTTATGCCAGAACCAGTTAAACATTACAATCAAAATAACAATCATGATTTTTTAAATCAGTCTTTATTCGGTACTTCTGATTTTACTGATAACCTTCTTTTTTTATATGAGACAATTTTTTAAAAATTTCTGAATACAAATAACAACAATTGGGGAGTAGATGATATTTTAAAAGCGATCTCAGAGAAAATACCAATCGGATGTAAAGTGGAACCACCTAATATTATAATTCTTAAGCCAGGTGACAACCCAAATTATAACGAAAATGTTCATAAGGCATGCGATTTATATTATGATGATGTTGGAATAGCAAATACTGGATGTCTAGATATCGCATGTGACCAGGCAATCTATCACCTATTGATTTCATATAAGGAAAAAAACAAAGACAAAGTAATAAGACCTCTCTTGGGTCAATGGCATACTTTCCGTTGCATGTATAGTGCACTTATAAATATTTTTTCAGGATATGGTATAGCTGACATGGCAGCAAAGCTCGGTGTCCGCTTTCTTGATAAATTAGAAAAGGTTGTGGATTACCAAGCTACATGTCAAGTTCTAGAATTAATTTGGGTCGTCGTGGGAATCGCTATTTTTAAATACTTAAATAATACCAATCAATCTATAAATGATATTGAAAATAAGGAAAATTATATTTTAAGAACCTGGTATCATTTTTTTTGTTGGGCCGGATATTGGATTGGGTATAAAATTGGTATTCGCCGTGGCAATTATGAAATGCAAATCAAAAACCTTGCAGCATTTTCTCCTCTTTTTCCTGTTGCAAAAAAAGTTAATTATACTAGGTCTGTAATGCACTTCCTTTATTATATTAATAATGATCAACATCTCTAGGAGTTGTTACGTCTTGTAAGTTCTGTAAATATTACATGCCTAGGGCACTTTCTCGCATTTGATGAGGCACTTGAACGGGTTGGAGTCTTGTCTGTAAAACAGAATGTCAGGGGAAAAACTATAAATCCTAAAGAATTAAAATTGCAGATAGCCTCAATACAAGCTGAAATAGAAAGATTAAGGATAGCGATTTTAGAATATCTGGGTGAAACTATTATTGCAACTAAGAACGATCGAACTGTGCAACCACAGAATGAAAGTTTATGGGAGCTGTCAGACGAATTGCTTAATGCCTTTTCATCAACTGATCCCAAAACGTATAAATTATTTGCAGGAATACAAGAAATGAGTAATATTGGGTTTCATAATATACTAACTTGTTATGAAAAGAGTATAGCTCGGCTTGAGACAATTTTACGCCAAGATATTTACAAAACTGATAAGCAAGACACAAGAGGACGTCGAAAAAAAAAAGTTGTAGTACATAAATTAGTAGCTCCATCACCATCAAAAAATCAAGTTCAACAATCACAAAGTAATCAGATTAGAAGTGACAATGCGAGACAGCAATCTAATGAAGATAATCAATGTGTAAAGTATCAACGTAGACATACGACAAATAGTGAAAAAGTGATACTCGAAAGTATACTTTCTTTTGATTCTTTCCCTGAAGACATAGCTATCGAAACCTTAAGAGAGCTTCAGGATTGTAGTAATAATTGGGATATGCAACGTATTCGAACATATTGGAAAAACAATCGTATCAACAAACGAAGAAAAACAATTTAATAAAAAAGACCATAAAGTAAGTAGTTTTATCAAATGAAGTTGGGAATTGAAAAGAACGAACATTCATTCATTATAAAAACTTTGCCAATCCAGAGAAGTACCATTTATAAAGATCAACAAAAATAAGAATAAAGGTCACTGTTATCAAAATAGAATCGGAACTAAAAAGGGTGGACATAAAGTTCTTGTTCGTTTGGTTATCAAAATTCTACTGATGTGAAAGATGCTGCTACAAATTATAACCCTTGGACATTGTTATCTAAAAATATAAGAGTTAGAAAGAGTAGCACAAAGCTTTATTGATTGTCAGATCGGTGAAGATAGGGAATGGTGGCATAATAAATATTTTGATTATTACTATTAGTGCGGAAATGGAGTTGAAAAAGGATAAACATTCATTTATTCATTATCAAAAGCCTATTGATATAAAAAACTTGGAACCTTAGCATTGCTATAGAATAATTAGAAATCAAAAAAGATGATTATAAGTAGCTCATCGAAATAGATTAGTTAAAAATGAATATTAGGGTTCAATGATTCGGCAGAGGTGGGAAATATTGATGAAATAAGCAAAAATGAACTTGGTCACTAAGTGGTATCGAAAAATTAAATATAAGGGTATTCGTTCATTAATTGTTATAAAATTATATGATGCGAAAAATGCCATACGGACGTAATAAAAAAATGGTTGGTTA